CTACCGTACAACCCATGATGAAATTTTCATGGTTGATTTTAGGGGTGAATCGCATTTAGAGCCAAATTTTAAAAAAAAATTTATAGGACAGATTTTGAGCTTTTTTTGATCTCACATTTTCTTAGTTTGCGGAACACTGTTTTACAGATTTTTGTTTTACTTTGCATGTCGCCTAAAGCGATCACCACACTGTCCAAACAGCTACAAAAATGAGAACTTTATTTCCGCCAAAAAACTTTCACATCAACATGGCGACTAAAACCAACACACGAAAACACGGGGTCTCCATTCACGTCATTATTACGTGACCACAATTCCAGATATGTAAAGCGTACAAAACTGAACTAAATGTTATTGAACTAGATCAATGTCTTTATGGTCGCAACATTCTTCCGCCAGTGCTCACGTAATCCATTACGGTGGACACTCCTCCAACAATGCTAGCTTCGCGACTGGCTTCTTATACGGACCACACTTTGTCTTCACTTCACAAACACGGATTGTGTCATCTTTCCCAAGAAAGATCCTTGTGCCACGAGCGAAGGACCAATCTCCTCTTTAGGTTTTCTCGTCTACGACCGCGACAAAATCACCAAAACTGAGATTGTGCAATGGCAAATTCCACTTTTTCCTTTCAATTAGGGCTGGCAAATGCTCTTTCGAATTCAGCCATCTGCTCCAAACTTGATTAACAACAACTTGTATTTGTCTCCAACGTTTCTTGCCTGATATTTCCTTGTCAGGAAATACACCGCAGGGCAGCACTGGATTAGCACGAGAAATAACGAAATGATTCGGAGTAATCGCTCCCAAACCACTGTCACTGCTTACTTCTGTAAGAGGTCTACTGTTTACCAGAGCTTTCGTTTCTGCAAACGCAATTTCCAAAACTTCATCTGTAACTACATGAAATACCACTTTGAGGGCTTTCTTGCATGACTGAACCAAACGCTCCCAAATCCCACCAAAGTGAGGGGAAGCAGGAGGATTAAAGTACCACTGAATATCCTTCTGAGACAGGTAATCTGAGATCTGGGACTGGTTACCGGACACTCTTCTTGTGCTCTCGATTGGCTCCGACGAAATTAGTACCATTGTCAGAATAAACGTCTGATGGTGGTCCACGTCTTGCTATGAATCTTCTCAGTGCGTTGATAAATGAATCAGTCTCCAGCGACTTAACCACCTCAAGGTGGACAGCTCTGGTAACTAAGCATGT